ATAAACCATCATCAGGAGAGCTGGTTTAGTCTGACTTCTTTAGGATATGAAGCTTATGTGATTCTGCTGGCTAGCAAACTGTCCTTGATAGATTTGAACCTATTGGCTAATTTTAACCAAATGGGACAGATACATTATTATCCTGTAAGTTTTATGAAGCAGGAATCAAGACTAAGTGTCTTTTTATCATTTCTTACAATATTATTGATGCATATGGTAATTAACTTTCAGAATTTTTCTCTGTTTTTACTCTTGTTTTTTTATACACAATTAGTCTAAAATCAATGTGCTTCTTGAATCAAAAATCATTTTTAAAAGACATAAGATGATCTAACATATGGTAGTCACAGTTTTGTTGCAATGTTACACATTGTGTGAATAATATCTTTGGTAGCACACTGATTGATGTAATAACAGGAAATTATTAGTTGATATCTGCTCTGTTTTTACTCTTGTTTTTTTATACACAATTAGTCTAAAATCAATGTGCTTCTTGAATCAAAAATCATTTTTAAAAGACATAAGATGATCTAACATATGGTAGTCACAGTTTTGTTGCAATGTTACACATTGTGTGAATAATATCTTTGGTAGCACACTGATTGATGTAATAACAGGAAATTATTAGTTGATAATTGTGTAATTCAGAACAGAAAATAGCTCTTCATTCAGAAGGTATCTATAATATTTAGTTCTATTTGATACTGAGCTGCAGGTGGTAAAATGGGCAAAAGATTCACTCAGTAAAAATTGCCTACATTTTACAGAAATTACAAAATGGGAAAATGGGAAGAAAACAATAGCAAAGGCTTTGGAAGGATGAAGAAAATGACCCTTCTCTTAGTACTATTATTTTTTTTTTTAGAAAATTTGTTCTCTGTTCTACATCCATTAAAGAAGAAACAAGTTCTACACATGTGAGGGAAAAAATAATCAAGAGGTTTCGTGAATACTTTTAAAGAGCAAACTACTTTCAAAATGATAGTTGCATATGGATGACCTATTCTATGTCATCTTCAGATAAATGCAAACAGTGTCATCTTCAACTTATCTCTGCTTAGATTAACAATGAGCAGCTGAGATGATACAAATATTGGAGGGTGGGGTAATGGTGTTGAACAGAGAAAAAAAAAAACCTCTAAATAACTTTTCAGCTCTGTGACAGTATCCTCATTTACCACCAAAATAGCATTAAATCTTTAGATCAGTGAAGCAATTCACAGCCTTGTTGGCAACTGGAATGCCTCATTGCTTCTGGATACTCAGATCTGTCAGTGTCCATACTTTGCTGGAAAGAAATTTGTACCTTTCCTGCTCAGAATTAGATTTAGCCACAGAAAGCCTTGCATTTGTGATCTCCGTGCTCAGTTATGGTAAATCTCTGTATTCAGGGTTAAAACACTGATCTCAAAAATCTAAAATTGTTTCCAACGCAGAAAAAAAACAGTAACACAAGTTACTGGTGTCACTGCATGTTAGTGGTCCCCTGGTAAATATTGAATTAGATTCAAAGATAGACATCTTGAAACTTCTGCAAAGAAGCATTTCTAGTTAGCTGGATGATGACACTCCCCCAATAAAGCATTTACTTTCTGTCATGTCAGTGTTTCACTGGAATTACTCCAGTGTATGGGAGACAAATTTTTCTGGTAGCTTATCTCCCAATGGCAAATTCATTGCCATTGCTCATAGAATATTAGAGATTTTGTGTACATACTTGAGGATGGTCTTAAACAGTATGTTCACGCTTGATGTTACCTGGGAAATAGGAAAAAAACCTCGCTCATTTTTCATGCAGATGGACATCAGTCTGTGAATGCAGTGAGTTTTAGTATTTGATTTTAATATTCATTGGTGAGTTGCTGAAACCAGACCTGGCTCTACACAGAAATAGCAGACACACTTTTTCCTCCTTCATTCGTTATCTGTCAGTAAGTTTGACAGTGAAGGGAGCCATTGCAACTCCAGACCCTTCCAAAATGTACTGCAAAATCCACTTTTATTCAATGTTTTTCCTGAATATTATACAAAGTCGCCATTCTTGATGTTTTATGTTTTCTGTTAATTAAAAATAAAATAGGTCATCCTACCTCATCAATTGTATATAAGGGAAATTTTTACCATTAAACACATAGCAGAATCCTTAGGATTTACTACTTGTTCTCAAAATTAAATCTCCAGTGACAAAAATGTAATTAATTTTTTTCCCAAGACCAGTGTTTCAATACTCAGTTGTTTAATCCATATTATCATTTCCTCAAAAATGTGAAGCTTTGTACTCTGGCTGAAAACAGTATTCTCCCCTGTGTTTTCATTTAATTATTATGAAATGCAGTTGCAGTTATAGAACAGAGTACATGTTGTTGTGTGCGACAGCCAATGGTAATCCTACCTCTCGTATCAATTTAGAGACAGTTTTGTTATCAATGCTTATTGTTCTACTGAGTTGAGTAAATTTTAGATGAGCTTCATTGTGAGTTTGTCTGATGGTGAACCTCTGGTGAGGACTAGGCATAACCTAACAGCTACTGCAAATTGCATTAAGCCTTTACAATTAACCAAACAACAAATAAATCAATGGAGGAATTAGTACATTGAAGGGTCACCTCAATAAGAAAATAAACCATGTAGTCACAGAGATGGCCATTTTTCAAGCTAAGCTAGAAAAGGCAGGCTTCAGACTAATTCTAATTCTTCTGTCTGAGCAGTGAGATTTAAAATTCCTACGGAATAAAAAAAGACTAATAGCATTCTTGACAAGGAAAATTGAGGGAATGAGAACATCAATTGTAGGAATGACTGATAAAATTATTTAATTGACACTAACCTAAAGATAGATTTAGACAAAAAGTATGATGGGCAAGTGATGGATTAAGCCTTTGAGTATACAAAGACGCTTTCTTTTGCATCTGACTCTAATAGAGATGAAGAGATCATTTTACTCTGTAATTTGACAAGAAGATGCAAGTATTGTGATGAAAAATTGCAATAAAAATTACAGGTTAAAATACATTGTTTCAAATACTTTTTACAGGAACCTGAAGAACAAACTAGTCAGAATTAACAGGATTAACACATTTTTGTAATATTGCTTGAATGCAAATTTTGACATCTCTTGATATAACTTCTGTGGTTTTATTTGAATAAAACAAAGAAAACATTTTGTGTCACGGAGAAGCTTCAAGTTTCAAAAATGACTTTTGGGGAGTTAAGAGTTGAAAGCTAGTAAATTTCAGCCAGAAGTGGATTTTTGATAAGGTAAAGGAAAACAACACTTTGCAAAGATTATATTGCTATTTTCCAGATCTATCTAGTCTGAATTGTGAGGATCATGCAATGGCTTACAGAACATCCTGAGCAAATGATAAAAAGCATCATATGAAATCTGGAAAGTTGAGCTACCCATTTATGTACATTAGCATTTAAGAACTGTATAAAATAAACTTTATTGAGGCAGTTTTAGATGAGAGATCTAAACCCTACTGCTCCTGACAAAAGAGGATAGGAAACAGAACTACAAGACACAGCTTCTCTTCTAGCCTGGATTATGAACATTATGCTAGATTGACATAAAAAAATTGTTTGCTTTTAAACTGGTGAATGATAGGTGTATTGCATTGTTCGATAGCTGTCTCTGCTCCACATTCAAGTTCACATACACACTGTGTAAAAGTTAGCAGAGAATCTTAAGCAGCTTCAGAAAAAGGAGCTGGAAGTATAACTTACTCTGTGCAACATCTGTGATGCTTTTCTTACTGAAAAGTGAATTTGAGGGACTTGGAGTGAATAAACTCATCTGTTGCAGAGAAAATACAATTTGGCAGGGAAAAAAGGGAACTAACATTGGAATCTCTGCCTTGTAATTCAATTTTGCACATCCCAGTGTCAGCCGTAACCACAACAAGCTAAGCAAACTGGTGAAACTTCATTGGTTGTAAATTAACAGGCCAGGGCTAGTCTAATCAATCACTGGGGAGAGCTACATCCCTAGCCTTTCACATATAACCTTAAACAAAGAAAAAAAAAGTGATATCTCAGATACAAAGCAGAAAGGAAGTACAATAACAGCGTTTTGACTCGGCTCCTTTTGCACTGATGCTGGAGTAAAGGGCATGAGTCAAAGGGATTTTAAGGGACCGTGAGCGGCCTGGACCACAGGGAGCTCCAGGGATCGCAAGCAGAACAGGGGTGTGTGAAGTCCTCAGCATTCCCAAACGCAAAGCCCATACACTGTGAATCTTAGCTAGCATCACACACAGACGTTTGTATTTAGCTCTGCTTCACTTTACACCTTCTTATTCCCCACCACTAACCAAGCCCTTGTGAAGTTGCAGCGGGTGACAGGCGCAAGCCAGGCTGCCCAGACCACAGCTCCTCTCGCTGCTCGCCAGCCCGCCCAAGGCCGCCGTAATCAGAGGTAATTGCCCGGGCTGTTATCTCCCTGCAGCCTGCGTCGTGCTTCCAAATACCTCTAATTGAATTGCTATAATTTTTGCCCTTCCTAATGCAGTGGGCTGGAGAGGGGGAAATGACCCAGGGGAGGCGGAGGAGAGGGGGATGGGCGGCTCTCGGCTGTCCCTCTTCCCCTCCCGGAGGACGCCCCTCCTGCGCGGTCGTGCTGCAGCCCATAAAGAGCGGAGGGAACAGAGGGTGGGCGTGCGTGCAGGTCTGCACCCGCGCACTGTGGCCATGCAGTGAATGCCCGCCGGCAGGACTGCAGCCGTGGGACAAGCCGCTCCGCCGCCAACACCGGGTGAAACGCTGCGAGGGAGAGGTCGTCGCGCCCCACCTCAAGGTACTTCCTCTTGGAAGGCCTCTTGGCCTTTCTCCCGGAGGGATTTTGGGTGCCGAACCGGTAGCCACAGCCGCCCTGCCCCACGGGAAGAAGGTTCACCCCCACTTTCCACTCGCGGCGGGGATGCTCACGTGCCCTGGGGGATCCGTAACTGGAAGGCAAAGCGGTAACTCGGAGCATTTACCCTAGTACGGTTTCTTTCCAGATGCAGAGGTACACTAGTTTCCTGTTTCTGTCTTTAATCCTTTGTGCCACCCTGTCAGAAACATTTGGACTGGTTTTCTCAGTAAGTACTAATTTCACTGTTGGAGACCCTATCCATTGGGCAGCATCCGTGTCTCAGCTGGCAAGTAACAGTAAACCTTGCAGTGTATTTAGATATTGGGGTTGGACAAGATGCAGCACTCAAACATTTTGGGCAGTAACCTGTTGGTTTTTTACTTAAGAATTTGGGGCTTTTGAATACTAGCTCCCTTGTAACAAATAATATGACTAAAGGGAAAAAAAGAGCATCTAGTTTATAGACCAAAATTGAATGGATGTCCCATCTGATTCAGAAAAGGTGGTGTACATATGGACTTTTTTTATAAAGAGTCTGTCATGTTAATCCAAACAACTAAAAGAAAACATTGCTGTTTGTTAAGGTGATTATCAGGAGGTAATATAAACTTGGAGTATAAAGTCAAAATTTCTGCTCCCAAAGTGTGATTTGCAGTTTCCTTTATACAGTGTGAAATCGTCACACCGCATGGATGTCCATAGCAAAGCTATTGACTCAGATGGGGAGGGGGCAAGAGTTCACTATTAGTATTTGCTTCAATATTATTGGCTTTTAATTTTTAACAATATTTCTTGATTTCAAGCCTTCAGAAGATACTTTCTGCTAAGAGAATGTCCATTTGGGTGCTGTTTGCTTTGTCTTCAGAAAGCACTGTAATTCATGCAATAACATACTTGCATTTTTTTCTTTAAGGCAAAAGAAAAAAGGGGCTGGACTTTGAATAGTGCTGGTTACTTACTTGGGCCACGTAAGTCAAGCACTCTTTTGCATTATTTCAAAATGCAGAAGTTTTTTTTTTTCTTGCAAACCAGTTTTCTGTAGTGTGCTACTGAATTTTCTGATGAATACAGTAATTTTGTCTAAACCTGCAAGACTGAAGAAACTCATTTGGGACAATACTTGTTTAGATATCTGCTACATGCCTATTATAGAGTTGAGTTGTCTTAGACAATAACTCTTCTTTTCTAAAGCAGAGTTGTGCTGTGAGGCTTTATATCTAGAAGCACCTCTGGTCACTCTTTGTGCTTCTGAACTGTAATTTTTATATGACAAATACTTCCCCCACCTTACTGCCCAGAAGTGTTACAAAATCTTATAGGATCTTAGATGTCAAGGAAGAATGGCAAAATGTGACATTTTGGCACTTCTTAATGTATTTCAAATTTCACCTTTAAATCTATTTGAAAATGGCTTTGCTACCTGGCTTTATTATACTATTTTTTTTTTTAATTAAAGCAAAACAAATTAAAACAATAACATGCAAACTCATGACTGTAAATATTAACAGTTCGCTATATGAAAAAATACTTAATGTACAGGGTATTTAAAATGCAAGAACACATTGGTTTACAAAGATGGAGAATCACAAATGTAGATTATAAAAAAGGGAAATGCAGTGCTAAGCTGTCTCAAATATCTGTCCTTTTACCATTATTTCTTGTTAATGTAATAACACTCATTACCAATGTAATAATACCAATATTTTCAGTCTCAGTAATACATGACAAATACTACAGATACTTACTATGACTCTCTTCATTCTTTTTAACTAAATTTAAGGATACCTTAAAGATTAATACATCTTAAATGTATTAACTGGTTCTGTAAATGTCTGGAAGTATATTTGCTCTGAAGTAGATCTAACCAAATTGGCAAAGATACTGTGGGGAAACGTACTTGTAAGTGCCACTAATCTAAGAGTGGATAATAGGAATCATCCTTTGTTGCAGATCGTATTGATCAGCTTTTAATGATAAAGGAAATGCCCATTGCAAGGGGGAGACAAGAGGCACCAGGGGCATATAAGATAGTTTTTGAAGGTTATTCATGTAAACTATCTGCAGTTTTCTTTTAAGCAAACTCATTGGCAACACTTTCTAAAAATAGAGGAAAGAGTATTAAAAAAAGCTTCCCAAATTACACGTGAATGTACAAACTTGATTTTCTTTACAACTTCCTCTGAATTCAGTAATAGCCTCAGCAAATATGTAGTACAGGATAATAACAGTCTGTAATAATACAGTCTGTAAATGATATAAATCATAAGCACAAATTCAGAAGGTTATTTTATTTAGTGACACATTAATTGTTTTTTGTCATTTTGTACATCAGAAGTGCCCATCATGATCTTTTCTTTGAAATCCATGAAAAGCCAGCAATATAGCAAGGGTTGTTGTTAAGTCAATTAACTCCTCTGATTTTTAATTTATTTATCAGATGCAGTAGATAACCACAGATCTTTTAATGACAAACATGGTTTCACTGGTAAACGTGAAATACAGCCTGATGAGGATATTAAAGCAGGTAATGAAATTCTGAAAGCCAGTATTGTTGATTTGTTTTTTTTATGTCTAGTAATTTATTTACTGTTATTGAGTTAACTAGCTACCTAGATACAAGGCACTCTAACAAAAAAAATCCTAATAAACATATGAAAGGAAGAAAAATTAAATTTGGCCATTCAGTATGCTCTTTGTACATGGTCATAGTTTAAAATACCTTGGTGCCTAGGGAAAAGTACTATAATTTTGTTGCTTTTAAAGTATAATAGATCATATTACTTTGAATAAACCTAGTTTGTTTCTTTTTATATGTTCAAATAAGTATTTCAAATGTCACCCTAGACACTCAAGAGTTAATTTTTTTTTTTTTTTCGGCAAAGGAGTGAGCCCATAAAGGAATCTTTCAGTAGGGAAAACTATAGAAACTGGCAATTTTTTTTTTTTTATTCTAATACACCATAGTTGAAACCAGACCTCAGAACTGTATGGCACTGTTTATGTTGTAAGAGTCTTGACATGGAAACTTTTTTTAAATAGTGAAGTCTCACAATATTTCCTATGTTTAAGCAAGATGGATTATCTTCATTAAAAGATTAAGAACCTGGTCAAAACCAAAGTCAAGTCAACATACTGTTTTGAGGTTGCATGTATCAGAATTTAGTAAATGGCAATAAAAAGGATGCAGCCTTGTTCTGGATTCATCATCCAAAGCTGGGCCTCTACAATGTATGTCTAGATGCCCTTTATGAAGAGAAGCTGGCACTTTTAGGACTTATTTTGAACACCTACTTCAGGGTAAGATATAGGAACTTCTAGGAAAAAACTGTTTCTTTCTCCTGAGGAGACACTAAACCTGCTGCAGACATCTAAAGTGAGCTGGGATGAATCTTTAGATTGTCAATCTTTAGATTGTCAAATAGTGATCTACTCCTCACTGCAACCAAAGAAAGCACTACTTACTTGAGTACTATTGCATTCATCACTGCACTAATGGGGGAAGACAAAGTCCTGGCCCCAGAGCTCTCGCAGGCTATCTTAAGTCCACGCAGCACAATGCAAATGTACGTAACACTAGATAAGTTCATAAATAAAGGAAATGTGCTTAATTACAATTTCATGGACATAATTACTTTGTAAATAGAAGAGTAATAGTAATACATTTCTTACTTGTTACATTTTCAGAATGACTGCCAGTTTAGTTCTAGTACATAGTTAGATAGTGCAGTTTTGTGTGTGGTGTTTTTTGGTGGTTTGGTTTTGGTTTTTTTGTTTGGTGTTTTCTGTTTGGTTTTAAGAAAAAAGGAAGAACCTACTTCATCAAACACTGATGTAAAAATAATATTTTGCCAGTTAGAAACAATGTGAATGGAAGACATTTGTAATCTAACAATGCAGCCCACATTGCAACATGTTGCCATTTGTGGATATACTACCAGCTCCTTTACAAGAATATGATCTTTAAGAGCTATGGAACTCTTTTGCCGGGTACTGCTGCACCTCCACAATTACAAGTAAACCCAACCAAACTTCTCTGGATGGGGCCTGAAAATTATACAACTGCCTCTGTTATAAACCTCATTTTAGATGCCCTCCTCATCAAAATTTCTCTTTGAAGCCAAAGTTTATTATAGAGTTCCTATCCAAAGGAGATTTGAATATAAAAAACCTGATAAGGTAGTCAGAATTCTTATTTTAATTGAAAACAAAGGATTCTTTTTAGTTAAATTCTGCTGATTATTTACAAGAGTATCTTAAAATGGCATTACATTATTACTGTAAAAGAATTCATGCAAAGGACTGCTCTCTCTCTCCTTGAAGGAGTACTGCAAAATGCACAAGCTCTCCAGATACCCTAGAAGACCTTGGAAGCAGTATTAGTTACATAACACTAGGTCGGGGGGGAGGAGGGGAAATCTGTGAGCATAACTAGGGAAGTCTTTACATTTCAATAGCATAACTGTTTCTTTACTAGAGTGCAAGTAATTGGCTATACAGAATTAAGGTCAATAGCAGAGTATATAGAAATACACATGTACAATATGCTCAAGTCACTAAAGAAATATATTTATCCAATATATATCACATTGGTAATAAAATCTGGGTCAATAAACTACTAATATAATAATGATTAATCATAACAAAAATCCATAACAGGTTAGGTGGGAATAAAAATTAAATTAAGGAAAACTTCAAATAATACAAGTATTATTAATGTAAGTAATAACATCTTTGTGTTAGTTCAAAGACTGGGAGACAAGACTTTTAGTTGCAAATTTCCTAAACGCATTCTTAAATGCTGACTCTATATAGTGGAAACCTCTGTGTCCCTTACAACACCCCATCATTACTCTTTATTTGTGCTACAGAGCTCAGTCTGCCTTGTATGTTGCTAGAGGCTTAAATCTTCTCTTCCATCATGGAAGAACTCCCCCAACATTCACCTGCTGCAAAGTCAGTCTTTCAGACTATTTTCTGAGATTAAACACATCCCCTGTGATAACATCAAGGGACAGTATTTTCAGTGATGTAATAATGGACTGTCAGTCAGATACTGGTACCCATCTGTTCTGTATGCAGACAACTAAAAAATCTTAGGGAAATTACCTACCATTTGTTCTCTAATATAGAACAGTTCTCTATCCTGTTGATAAAAAGCAAGATTTCTCCTTTTTTTTTTTTTAATAGACACAGAAAACGTACTTCCCAACCTATCGAAGTGCAATAACAAGCTCCAAGGGAGCTTGATAAATTAGGCCATTTAAAAAGCATCAAAAGGCCTACTTCCACAAGATCAAAGATGAATATATTGTGTTAAATACATATGAAAAAACATACCTTTCTGAGCTTTTAGTAAAGTCCCAGGCCTAGCTTTTGGGCTACAAATCGCTTCTACATTACTTGAGTGGCTTATTGGGAACAAAGTCAGACTACATGAAGAACTTTTAACTGTTTTGCAAAGCTGATGAATTTGTTTGCTAACTTTACCTTTCTCTTCAATCTCAGGCTAGCAGACACAAAGGAGAGAGTCGAGAACAGAGGATAACTCTCTTCTGCAACAGAACTCATGGCCTTAAAGACCATGACCGTTAAGGTGTCAAAGCAGCTCCTATGCAGCAATAGCATACAAAGCTGGGCAATTTTGATTCTAAGAATTGCAGTCACCTACCTTAAAGCGGCTTTGTTCTTCCATGAAATTAGGTTTTCCATTAAGGATTTCAAGGAAAAAGAAATTTCGGACAGCTTTTTTTCAGAGTACTCCTAAACCTAGCCACAATGTCACATACAATAGGTCTTCATACCCTGTTAACATTAACTAATAACCAACTTGTTTTATAGGGAATCTTGGAAGACTACTGGCTGATGAAAACATTGTGCGCACAGTAATTGAATTTTTGACTTACTTGCACCTTAAAGGTTAGTAAATACCTTTTTAATCTTTCACACTTTCTGGTGTGAAATTTATTGAGAAGATGATAGGATTATCCTTGAATGTACAAGTCTGCTACAGATTTGAGTGTGCAAGACTTTAATGAGCATCTCTGGTGGGTGGGGAGGAACTGCATTTTAGTGCACTTAGGAATAGGCCTGATTTAGAGTGCAGGTAGTCCTGCCAAACTGCGAGTCAATAAATATCCAACATAGCAGGGTTCTAACACATTTGATTACTCGGCACTGTGAAAATAATAACAGCTACTACTAAAATTGTATGGACCCAGCTTTTAAAATAGTTGAAAACAAACTAAATACAGTCTGATTACATGGGACTTAGTATGAAACAATTCAATAACAAATTAAATAAGACCTCAGTTTAATGCCAAGAACAGTTGGTTGAAACACTTGATAGTGACAAAAGAAATACATCTCCCTTTCTGCATGTATTCTACAATAAAGTCACATAAAATTGCAACAACACTAAGCTGAATGTTGGCAAACAGCTCGAAGTGCTGCTAGTAAAAACTCTGTGGAGTCTCAAAATTGTGACAAGATTTGTAAAACTGATCCTACAGCTGATTCTATAAGAATGGTAACTTTATTACAGCATTAGGTGAAAAAGAAATCTGGCTGCTTCAGAGTTTTCATTAGTTTTGCTTTTTTAAAAAAAAAAACACCACAATTCTGAGCTTTTAAAAACCTCTTCAGAGCTTCTATAACTGTCTACAATATGTTCAAAAACATAATATATACTTGCGAAGAAATCAACAGGAAGGAAAAAAGTTATTTTTACTACAACGGTTTGAGGAATTTTCCGTCTCAGAAAGCAGACAATTCAATAAGTCTGTAATTTCTATATTCTTACCTTTGTATACAACAAATTATAAGCAATTCTGTGGCAAGTGTATGCTGTGGAATAGTAACAAAGAACTGTGTGTTACATTTGTGTCTTAATTTCATTATTAAAAGAAACTTTCAAGAGATCTGTTCATTTTCTGCATATCTAGGAAATAAAAATCTAGACCTCTTTGGCATAATTTTCTAAATTATTTGCATCCACCCAAGCAAAATAATTCTCACTACTGAAAATATCAACCCAGTGTTTATTGAATCAACTTTGCATTTGAAACAAAAACTCTTTATGGTTAGTACTAAGGGCCTGAGATAATTCAAATATATATTTAAAGTAGATTATTAGCATATATATTTACTGTGGACAAAGTAGTAGTTTGTTTGTTGTGCCACTGTGAAGAAGGAGCCCTAAACACTCCTTTACGCTGCTATGTGAGCCTAGCAAGTAAAACCAGTAACTGGACACAACAGAAAGGGTGTGAAACGTTGAGCTCAAGCATGTGCTTTCTGATGAGTAGGCTGAGAGCTGCTAAGTTGGGTAAGAAAATAAAATGCATCTCATAGAAATATAAATTACTTCTTCCCTGGGATGAATGAGCAAAAAAGGCTGTATTGTAACTCTAAGTAACAATTCCTTGTTTCAGATAGTGATGACAAACAGCTGGTTTTATTCAGAAAAGATGGTATTATTATCTGTCCTCATAAAAAAAGGAATCTCCAGATCATATAAAATGGCATTTCCCCGAGATAGTTCTTGTATTCCCAGGTTTCAAAAGACACAGAATGTTATCATATTATCCCTTAACAATATTTATTGGCAAGACCTAGTACAAACACTTACACAAAATCAGAACTGTAGAATTAGGAGGTGAAAAACTTACTTTATTATGGTAGAGATGCTTTAACATTTTTGCTCAAATGAAACTTTACTGCATTAAATATATCGGGTTAGATATGTTCCTTTGGGGGAAGGGGGAAAACTCCCACTTATGGGATTCAGATTCAAGGAATGGTTATTCAGATTAGACATACGTTTTGATCTGCAAGATAAAGTGAGTATTTTAACTGCTAAGAAGTATCTTGGCTATAACTGAAAGTGGCTTCAGCTCTTTCTCTTGAAAATTGCTCCCTCTAGCTTTAAAGGCTTCCCATATAGAGCAGGTTGTAGGATGGCAGCCATAATTGGATAATATTAAAACTTTTGAGATGCCGGGATCCAGCAATATCAATTGAGATAATAAAATTGATATAATTTCATTGTCATTCTGTCACTGCTGTTTCTAAAAAGGTGAAATTGTAGCAAGAAGATATTATTAACATTCAAAAGAAAAAAACAGTAGTTTATAAATTAAAATATGAAAAGTTCAAGGATTTGCCTCTTACAGTTGAGAGAAGAAAAATATAAAAATGTATACTACTGAAATTGGATTTCATTATTTCATTGCTAAGATTAATATGCATACTTACATATGTGTTCTTTCTATTTTTTTTTTTTTTTTTTTTTTTTTTTTTTTGTCTTTTTGCAGAGGTGGGAGCACTTGACAAACTACCTTCACCAGAGGAAACAAATCAGTCTTGAAGAAGAATGCATTTTTATTTTGTTGTAATGTAGATTTAGATTGAATTCTAAACAAAAGATCCAAATGAGCTGAAGATGAGAAATATTGTTTGCATTAATTTGATAAATGGTAAACAGCATTCTACCCTCTGGGTTTTTTGTTTGTTTGTTTGCTGTGATGTTATAGTGTAAAATTTTGCCTTGGTAAAATTTTTCTGTAGGTAAATGATAAAATAAAAATAAAGAGCAACTACATTGTTTCATTTTAAAATTAAATACATACCAGCACACAATACATCATATACAAACCCAGGTTAAATTGTAAGATTACACTGCATTTATACTCTGCAAAATTACAGTAAAATAAAACATAAATACTACATATTGGGTACTTTAGCTAACTGAGAAAAAGAAGAACAGTGACTTCAAACTGCTGCCATAGAGTCTTTTTAGGTCACAGATCTGTCTGTACTTCTACGCTTCATGGAAGCCTTAGTTCCTGTTCATATTTTCATAGACCTGAAATAAAGTCATGTTCATTTTAAATTTCATAGTATTCACCTGTAATACATCAGCCCATTGACCAAAGCATACCTTCACGCAATACAAATTTAACTGTTCTGTACAGGTGATAGGTTTACACAAATCCTATGTGTAGGATTCTTATTCCTATGTCATCAAGAATACTGGATCTGTATTCTTTAATGAAGAAACTCTCCTGTCCACTCCAAGATTAAAAAAATGTTTTATTTTATGAGATGCTTTAGTCTGAGTCTAGCAAAGCACTTGAATATGTGCTTAATCCCTGCAAAAGAGCTTTGATGTACCGGGACCAGAATGGTTGGCCCATACACAATAAATGTCATATCAAGAATACGGAAAGGTTTGAGAGGATACAGAATCTTAGAAAGGTTTTTCAAATTCAGATGACTTTCACTCTCTGCATAGTGTAATGAAATACCATCCTTTCAAAAATGCTGCTGTGCACTAGAGTGCACAGACAGAAACTTTGCAGAACATTATTACATAATCTGTTTTTCACTTTTAGCATAGCAGAATACATTCTAGATGCCAAGCCCCTAGTGCCTAATTTGAACCCACAAGGTTTATTTCACCTTGTCAATCAGCCTGTGCTCTTCCTCTGATAATCACTCAGCCTCTGATTTAATGTCTGATGTTCACTTTCCAAAGTGTACAAAGGACACTTTTTATCGGATCCAATGAGATTTTGAGCAAGCCCTTCAGACAATGTTTTACTGTTTTTTTTTTTTTGAAAGAGTAATAAAGAAGTATACACTGCTAGTATACATGCTGCTAGTTCAACATTATTTGGTAAATTTATGGGCTTCCAAAAATGTGAAAAAAGAGTAGAGTGAAATTTAACTTCTATACATTAGTATGTTTCAGTAATTCCAAACTCACATTTTCACTAGTAATGTCCACATTTCCCAATATAAACTTGAAGCAGAGCTCAATAAAATCAAGAGGCATTCTTTTCATTGACTTCCATGGACCTTGGTTCATTGACTGCTAAGAACCAGTATCCATTTGCAGAACTCAATAACAAGCCATCTTTCTATGGCAAAGCAGCTGAATCTATGATCAAATAAAAAGAACATAATCTTAACATTGAATTTATTTTCTTTTGAAATAGGATAAGAAATTGAGTTTAAAATTAGAAACCAATTATTGCTTAAATTAGCACACTGTCAGCTCATTAAAGTTGGAATGGTCTTGTTAGAATGTTTATTTGAAATTCTGAAATTTGAGATTATTTGAAATACTGAAAGACTCATAGGATCAAGTTCCTTGAAAGATTTACATCACTGAGCAGGGTGGCCCACAAGTTCTTACTCATTTTCCTGTACTGCTATATGCATATATTATAAAAAACACAAAGGATCATTATAATCTAATTACCAAAAGCAGTCCACATACTTTCACTTGATAATTACTGCATTCAAACACATACTGTATTCCAAAATACAGAGAGAGCTAAAATTTTCAGACTGTTTCTTCACCCTCTACAGCTCTTAACCTTGCAAAAACAAAGGGGCAAAAAAAAATAAAGGGCCATTCTTCTGGGTCAATTTCAGTAACATCATTATTGTTGTTGTTGTTGTTGTTGTTGTTGTTATTATTATTATTATTATTTTAACATTATTATTTTATTTAAAGCATGTCTTATATCGCTATACCTCAGACCTAAATTCTGCAAATATTTGGAATGACTTTTCCATAATCAGCCTCTCAGACAAACACCTGATAAAAGATGGCCTTTAAACCACAATTTGAAAGCAATTAGTTTCAACAGGGCAAAGAGACAATAAAAAGATGTGACAAGTTTCAGCAGAAAATAAAAAAAAAAATCCCTAACCATTTCCTCCTCATTTCATTTATTTGCTCATTTGCATACATTGTATCCCACTTTTGTGTAGGACTAGATCAAACACATATCTGCACTAAAGACAAAAGCCAGAATCTAAAAAAAAAATGAGTAAAACTTTATTGTAATGTTTGCCAGTGATATGAAATTACCCAACATGCAGATTTAACTCTGACAATGAACAGAAGGCTTGTATGATGCTGAATGACTGGACAATAAAATGGCAGATGAAATTAAATGCTGATGCAAGCAAAGTAATATACACAGAGGAAAAACAACTCTAATTTTGCATAGACATAATGATGGTCTAAATTATCTCCGGAAAGATAGCTTAGACTCATTGTACACAGCCCTCTCAAAAAATGTCATTTTTTAAAGCTTAGCAGCAGTTAGAAAGGCAAATGGAATGTTAGGAATTATAATGAAAGTAGCCAAAACCAAACCAGAAAACATCATTATGCGACCATTCCCAACTTCGACACCAGATGCAGTTCTGGTCAGCTCATTGCAAAAAAAAGCACTGTAGAAACAGAAAGGTACAGAGAAAAGTGACAAACATCTTCAGCAACAGGGAGCAACTTTTAAACACAGAGAGACTAAATAGATTGTGACTTTAGCTAGAGAAAGAGACTAGTAAGGATGACAGAGTCTTAAACATCATGGTAAAAGTGCTTAGTGAATTCACTTCTTGTAACTCAGGATTGAATGATTACCTGATAAAATGATCAAGTAACATTTTAAACCTACCCCCCAGAAAAAGAAGTCCTTTTCCATGTATATGTCATGATGAAATTGTGGCACTGACAGGCACAGGACATTGTGGAGGCCATAGGTTCTGAAAGGAAACAGTTATATTCACGGAAGAAAAGTCCTTCAAGGTCCAAATGAAACCACTACCTCAAAAAGTCTAATTAAATTGTTTCTTAGAACACATTACAGATGTGTGCACAGAGGTATAAAACAACCCTTAGAACCTCATCCATAATTCATGTATTAATTAAACAGGGCTTCTTCATCTGCACAGCATCTGATGCCAGCTTACAAAAGAAACTTGGAAATTACATGTTTTTGGCTAAAAATTCTGCAGAAATGAATACTACCTATAACCAAAAAGGTTTAATGTTATACAGAGCTTCATATGTCAGGTAGTCTCACTAAGACTTGTTAAAATGCAGATCAGTTGAGCATAAAAGAGGGAATTTCTGGTGGCACAGCTGACATAAAACAATCTGTTCAGATTAGGAAGTCATTAGGCAGCTGACAGGATACATGTATTTTCCCACCTGTCTACTCATGTAAAGGTCAGACTGTAAAATTAGCATAGAAAAATTGATAGGACTCAGAATACTGAGGACGTTTGAGGGGGCTTGATACTGGGGTTGACATAATTCTGCTTTCAAGTTTAATGTTACCATAGTTAAAGCCAAACTACAGCCCCTTTTGCCTGACTAGTGCACTAACCTCCTAAGACAACAGAGAAGCTTGGTGTGAGTTAGTTTACAGAAGATTCTGACAATTTCTTAGCTGTTCTTTTGCCTTTCAAACAAGATTAGGAGATCTGATACAAGATAGTATGTGAAGCAATACATTAATAACTCAGAAAAAGCGATGAAAGTATTTTTTACATGATTTCAGAATATGTGATACAAAAAAGCAACAAGTTAGAAATGGACACCAGGAGATACCTTGTAATTTGTCCAGGATATAAATTACCTCAGGAGATTTCTAAGGCAGATATGAGGATTAAAAGAAAGTTTAGAGCTGGAGTGTTATTAGCAGAACAAATGATTTTTCACCAATTGACAAAGTACATTAACAGAGTGTAGTACTTCTGTCACTAGTTTGTGTTCTATCATTTATTTTTAAATAAATGCAACTAATAATTCTGATACTTAGTTTTGTGAGGACTGAGCATGACATGGACCAACCATAGAAAACTGCAACTCACAGATCGCTCTACTAAGATTCAGTAGTTGGGTATACAAATGTCAGTTGCCAAGATTTTTAATACCTCAGAGCACAGGGTGTTTGTCAATTCATGTGCAACACTCAGCACCTCCCAGAAACGAGCTTTAAAAAGACAGGGTTGAGCTGCAGATGAGAATTATTTTATCTCCTTGCTTGTAAAGCACTACATTATTCCCAAATACTTGATCAATTTCCCTTGAGATTCAACTCATGTATGTTCCATCATCTGTGGTACTTCTAATTGAACTGATCTCCACAGATTTTCCACTAATTAAGTACATATAAATAACACAGCCTTTCTGAGTGCTGGGAGACGTGAGACTCTCATGGAATGTCTGTCTGAGGGGAAATTCTAAAATACCAAAATAAAAATCTATCTCAAATCAGGATAAAATGTTACCATTCAGTTTGCAAATTTTTTTTTTCCTTTGGTACAGTTTCTAATATAAATGTTGACTATTTATCAGTTACAAATGCTTAAATAATTAATTCAGAATGGATTGCTTCTGTAATTTCCCTTTCAGAATGTTTGTGATGTCATATGTTTCCTTGAAATTATTCTATTTCATTAAAAATCATTCTATCAGAAAATAATTGATCTGATTTATGAATGTTATGGCTATTATTTACATTTCTCAATATTAAACGTGGTATTTCTTGACAAGACTTAAAACTGAGGCTCTGATCATTTACATCAATATCAGTCTATTCTCTGCTTACTACTTATTCAGATGTCAGTGTAGGGGAATCACACCCTGCTTCCCTAAGCTCTTTCTGCAATTTCACAGGGTTGTCCTATTCCTCTTGAACTCCTAATCTAAGAGATAGTAGATTTAGGATCATTAGCATTGTGGTGGTTTTCACATCTACTGTTCTCTGCAACTATTAAAACCCTACTC